TTCATTGGCCTCACTTCTGGGGTCCCATCCAGGATCCATCCTGAGAATAGCTTAGGCTCCAGTCAGGACTCTGGGGTCCCTGTCTTCCCCTTCTAGGGATGTGAGTTTAACAGAGGACTTTTGTATGTTATAATTGTCGCCTGCCTGACTGGGCTGATCAAGTATTCTTTGCCACTACAGGGAAGTGAGGGTTTGATTTAGGAGCAGCATGACATCTTTCCAAGCCAGTTCAAAAGTTTGGAAAACAGTACTAAAGGCTTGAATATACCAGTCTGTGTCATCAGTAAAGCTGCCCAAGTCCCATTTAATTTCCTTAAGATTGCTTAATCTGAAGGGGACATGTATTCTTTCCAGGAGGCCTCCCCCCCCACCTCAGGAACAGCCAGTGGCTGCTGAGTAGGAAGGCAAGGAAGTCACCTTCATCATTTCCCTTGGGTGGAAGGGAGGGGGAGTGGCTTTCTTAGGGGGAACTGGGGATATCTTAGTATCCCCTTTGGGTGTGTTTTTACAAACCATGGTGAGGGTTTGAGCACCTCCCTTACACTGTTTCACCCACTGGGGATGTTCTTTAAGAAAAAAGAACTGCTGCATGTAGGTGATTTCTGTCCATTTGCCCTCCCCTTACAAAACAAGTCTAACTGGAGGATAGTATCATAGTTAAGCATTCCACACTTGGACCATTTTTCCTGCTCTCCAAGGGATATTGGGGCCAGGCCTGAGTACAAAAGAAAATCTTAGCCTTTTTGCAAAGGTTGTCATGATTGATGTCCTTCCAACATTTTAGCAGGTAGGCAAGGGGAGACCCCTCCAGAACTCAAGAGGAAGAAGTTCCATGTGTCAAGAGAACAGCATGTGGTCTACAATGGAGGGGGTATTCCTATTTTTTTCTGATAAGGAAATCCCTACATGAGGAGAGCATCCTCTCCCCTCCATTTTGTCCCTTCTGCTATTTGTGACTAAGACTGAGGGAAAAGCTGAAAAAGGCTTCTGGGTTGCAGTCACCCTACCAGCATAGCCTTGACCACATGTGATTCTTTTTGCCTTAAACCTCAAACACTTATATGTCTCCAGTTAGTGAAGGCATCTATCTTAAAGAGAGCTCACCAGAGGAAGGGCTCAATGAGAGACATGAGGGCACAGAAGGCCAAGGGGTGTAGATGAGCCTGGTTTAAACATGTCTTCTGGAAAAGACTGTGGGGAAAAGGGGTGTTATACTCTCCTGGGCAGTCTGGGGATGGATACGGGAGAAGACCCAAGTGGCGTGTGCCACAACTTCGGTGCAAATACATTCTCTAGGGCAATTCTGAAGGATAAAGATAGGGCAGCAGGTGTGTAAGGGAGGGCAGTGCTCCGTGAGGTGTCATAAAAGTCCTGGAAATTGGCATACATCATCCAAGAAAAAGTGGGGGAGCAAAATGGGCAGGGGAGTTCCTAGGGCACAAACACTTTATGATCTCACTACAAAATGCAGGTGTGGTGTCTTCCCATATATCCCTGAAGAAAGCCATCCAGTATTGTCAGAGGCAAAAGGGCCATTGGGTCATGGGTTCAGAAATGAGAGAAATATAGAGAGAAAAACTGGCAGTTATAGGAGTACAGACTTGCCCATGTGGCAGTAAGGCAGTCCCTATAAATCCCGGGACAGGCTCAGCATATTGAACTCTGAGGAGAGATGTGCTGGATTCTGCCAGAAGTCTTAGTGGGCTTGAGAAATTCCCCCTCCACTTTCAGGAGAAACCTCTCTATTGATAGAGGAAAGAAGGGGGCAGCCAGGGAGTTCTACTTTTGGCTACTCCATAGCAGGGGGATCTCCCAGTATACAGAGTCCATGAGAATGCCAAATGATCATGGTCACTTCCCAGGCAAACTTCCTTGATTAGCCCAGCCAATACCAACCTTTCATCCTGGAGAAAAGAGGTTCCCTTTGTGGTTGCCAAGATGTCATGCGTTCCACTGACTTGTCAGAGGGCTCTTGTTCTCTAACACTCTTAAGAACAAGAGGCTGAAGCACTGGAATTGTAGTCAAGAATGAAGCTTTATTGATAGAGAAAGGCTGCATGGAGAGATGCACAGTGGGGTCCAGAAACTGGGTGCCTCTGAACATTAGAGTGGGATATATATATATATATATATATATATATATATATATATATATATATATATATGGCTTCCACCCCAATCTAAAGAACAGTTCATACTGGAATCCTATAGGTCCATTCTTGGCACACACATCCTCCTGTTCCTCCAGCCAAGCTGGTTCCTCTGCTTCTCCCAGGTCGTGTGGGCTTCTGCATTCCTAAGATGTCATGGGGCTGATTTATGCTATGGGACTTATACAGTCTTTGTGTGCCCCAGACAAGACATGCCAATGGACTGTCCCTCAGGGTTTTGGATGATTCCTGACCCATATTTGAGGATTGGAGACCAAAGGCAGGAGCATCCTCACTGTCAACTGACAGCCTATATATGTGTGCATCTGGATTTTCTAGGCATCCCCTGAAAATAGCAGGTAAATCCACCCAGTTGGTGGATGGAGGAAGTCTCTCCTCCATCTGGGGCTTTGATGTGGTCCAAAGTAAGACAGAGAAACCTGAATGGAGGGGAAATCTCACCAAATTTGAAGGCTGATGTTGGATGGAGGAGAGAGCTGAGAGCCAAACTTACACACCTTTCCTGAGTTTTGGCACCATCTGTTAGAAATGAAAGAGGCATGGAATGGATAGGTAGGTAGATGCCTCAAACACCAGCACAGGGTTTATTGAGAAGTGCTCCTGCAGAGGAGGTCCCCATAAAGAGAGCTGGAGACCAAGGCCACTTACAGACTGGGGGACTTACAGACTGGCAGTATTCATGAGGTGGTGGAGAATCATCAGGAAGGTCACTGGGTGGGATAATCCTTGGTGGCCCTCTGACCATCTTGAGTTAATGGCTTCATGATGGGTCATTCCTTCTAGGGCAGGTGAGGAATTTCTAGTAAATGTCTTAAGGTGGATATCTATTTTTCTTTAGGGCCAGGTGGAGAGTTTTCACTAAGTCACCTTGGAAGAGGAGGGGGGTTCAGTTCTAACATGGCTGCCTTTTGTTCACCCTAACAGTTGGCTTTTCAGAGTGGAGAGTCTCTGGGATTCCTGTTGGTGAATGATTTTGTTATTAGGAGGAAATGAAAAAGAAAATAACCCACAAAACTCCAAAACTTAAAAAAAAGTGTGGAGGATGTGAGCCATTGGGAGTGGAGCTGCCTTGGCTAATCTCCTGGATTAGGTGAGTTCTAGGAAATAAACAGGGCTCCAGGATAGACCATGTTGCTCTGAAGCCCAGATGAGCAGAGTGTTCCTCTTTTTTTTTGTGGATCTGGAGGCTGAATTCAGGGCCTTGCAGTTGCTAGGAAGGATCTCTACCAGTTGAGTCTTGCCCCAGCCCTTTAGCTTTAGTTATTTTTGAGATAGGGTCTTACTTTATGCCCCAGCTACCCTAGAGCAAGATCCTCCTATTCACACTTCTCTCATAGCTGGGGTGACAGGTGTGACACCAAAATTTCATTGGTTGATATGAGTTCTTGGAACATTTAGCCCAAGCTGGTCTTGAACTGTGATCCTCCAGATCACCTCCTGAGTATCTGGAATTACAGGCTTTAGCCACTGAGCCCAGCTGATAGCGTCCATCTTATACAGATAAGATATCCTCAGAGCTGGTGCTGTGGTTGAAGTGGTTAAGCACTTGCCTACAAACATAGGACCCTGAGTGCAAACCCCAGTATGGTGAAAATACGCACATGCACATATACACAAAGACATACATACATGTACAACAATAAAAATAACAATAATAAAAAGCCCAGTTACTCCCTGACCAAGCCTCTGAGTGCTGGTGGTACTGTAATGGCTGTACTGGATCCAGTGGGACAAACCATTTCTACATCTGATCCACCACTAGGCCCCTCCCCTTCCTGGTGGAATGAGAGAGGTCGACCTGGGCTACAGCTAGTCCCTCAGAACTGTCACAGTCTTCCACAAAGGGGTGTGTGAAGATATGGTTTTAGAGCCCCACAAATAGAGTTTAAGACAGTAGTTCCCTGTTTTTTTGTTGTGGAGGTAGTAGGAACCTGGGGGTGGTAGCATCATGGGGGCACTGGAGGTAGTAAGCACCTTGGGGCACTGGTGTGTGACCATCGCAGGGGCATTGAGGGTCAAGGTGAGCTCCTTGTTTCTGCCTCATGCCCACTCTCCTGCAGGTACTGTCCTGGAGTCAGGAGCTGCCTTGTATTTGCCCCCTGCCTTGATGTACTTAAAACCTGCTAATGTATAAAAGTAATAGCCCTACTGTGTTTGGGACTTCAGTAGTTATCCCTCTGAGCTGCAGTGCCACCAATAAATTGCTGCTTCCAGATCTCAGTGTCATAGCCCCATTGTTCCCACTACAGTTCTGGTGCACTGGCCAGGAAACTGGGAATTGGAGATGGTCGTCTTTCACCTCCCTTGTTCCTGGGGACCTGATGAGGATGCCGGTCATGCCATCAGGTGCCAATGGGTAATTTCTCCCATTGAAGGGAGTCTCTCCCAGTGTGAACATCATGTTCCTTGGGGCAACAATGGAACCTGGGGAGGCCTAGGAACCAGTATCTGGAACACTGCCCATCAGACTGGTAAGAACCTGGGTTCCAGTGGTACCTGCCCCTAAGTGTCAGAAGGGAGTCTGATCACTCCCAGAGTTGAGTTGTCCAAGTTTTTTCAAGTGGACCAAAGGAAACTACAACTCTTGGGGACTATTAAAACAACCCCTGGGTGGAGTGCTGGTGACAGATGAAAGTGTGTAAAAATACTGTGTTGTGTGAGAGTGCATAAAAGTGCAAGCCTGAGATGCATCCCAGCTGGGAAGTGAGAGCTGATTCCCAATCCGCGTGTCTGTGATGAACTCATATGGTCCAGGGTGAGCCCTATCAGGGCCTCTGATCCAGGGGTTATACGGAGTCACTGAGACCAAGAGACCACTTAATCCCTTCGATGGGAGCAGCTGGAGATGGACAAAGTGAGTGACGTTAATTTATCTACCCTTGTTTGTCAGAGAAAAAGACCCTTACCTTTCCTCCAAAACCCCAACCCATCTGTGTCTGTCTTGACATCTGGTAAAGGGTGGAAACTGGGTGGACGAGAAAACAAGTGTACCCCCTTAAAATGCATGTTAAAACACTTTCAAAAGCAATTCACTGATGACTTTGGTATCAAACTCACTTCTCAGAAACTACGAACATTTTGTTAGATTGACTGGCCCAGTTTTGAGGTAGGATGGCTATCTGAGGGGTCACTTGACCCAGAGATTATCCAGTCTGTTTATTTGGTGGTTATGGGAAGATCAGGGCACCCAGATCAGTTCCATATATAAGTGTTTGGTGAGATCTAGTCAGAGCAAAGCCCTCATGGCTTAAAGCCTGTGCAGAGCAACAATCCAAGATTGTGGTGACAAGGCTCACAGACAAGGGCACATATGCCCAAAATACCCCACCAGGTTTCTCATGAGTTCCTGCCCTGTCCCTTTGTTGGGGAGAATCTCCTCTCAAAACCTCAAGTTCAAATCACCTTTACTCCTCATGGTGAGGCAACTCTCTCCCTCAGACAGCCAACTGCAAAGGTCCTAGCTCTGCTTCAAAATCAGAAGAATGGTGGTCGTTTGTGCCTCAGGAGCTGGTAAATCTATTAGAGCTGTCTTTCCCTGACATTCTGGGAGTATGGGCTGAAGAAAATCCCCCAGGACTTGCCTGACTTTTGACACTGAGGAGAGAAGACTCCTTGAGGGGGATGGTACACTAGATCAAAGATGGACAGATACTTATCCCCAAATTCTAGTCTTCACTTTGGTGCAGTCTTACCATCAAGACATCCACATTGCCTGGACTGCACTGAAAGCTGCTCTTGAAAAATATCTCTGTCTCCTGACTGTCCACCATAGCCTGTGCTGTTTGCAAGTGTTGTGTGTTTTGCACCAAAAACAATCCACACCACAGACCCAAACCACCATCTGGTATCCAGAGTATTGGAAGCACCTGTTTGAAAACATCCAAATGGACTTTACAGAGCTACCCTGGGCCAGTGGAAACAAGTATCTACTGGTATGTGTCTGCACATTTTTGGGATGGGTGGAAGCTTTCCTGACCTGAACCAAAAGAGCCCAAGAAGTGGTCTGGCTCCTCCTAAAGGAAATCATTCCCCACTATGGCATCCCTCTCACCACAGGATCAGACAATGGGCCTGCCTTTGTGGCCAAGGTTGTCTAGGCCCTAGCATAAGGTTTAAAAATTCACTGGGAGCTGCACACTGCCTACTGCCCTCAGAGTTCAGGCAAGGCAGAGCACATGAACCAGACTTTAAAGCTACAACTAAGTAAATTGTGCCAGGAAAACCACCTAAAATGGACTCAAGTTCTGCCTATTGCCCTTCTTAGAATTAGATGCAGCCCTAATAAACAAATTAGATTCTCTCCTTATTAAATTTTGTGTGGAAGGCCTCCTCCTTTAATTAAAGTTTTAGAAGAAATCTATCTGAAATTGGCAATCTTACCCTAAAACAACAAATGCAAGGCTTAGGGACAGTTTTAGTCAAGCTCCATAAATGGGTCCAGGAATGTCTCCCAATAAGCCTCTCTACTGTGGTACACCCTTATTAAGCCAGGAGATTTAGTATGGGTAAAAAGAATGGAATGTACAACCATTAAAGCTCTTGTGGAGTGGCCCCTATACTGTCCTCTTATATATCCCCACTGCTGTCAAAGTGGCTGAGGTGACCCCCTGGATTCATCACAACCATCTGAAACAAGTGGCATCTGCTGGAGCAGAATGGAAGTGCTTTCCAGATCCACAACAGCCTGAGCTCATCCCCAGCAGACAGCCTGACACAGCTTCACAGTGACAACCTGCCCTTCTTCAGTCACTCCTTGGGCTGACTGATCTACACATGGCTGAAGCTGGGACTTACAGCAAAGGACTTTAACAGGCTGATACTGTGGCTTTCCTAACTGGAGTCCTAGTCCTCTTCTGTTTTGCTACCATCCCTAATACCCTGTAAAGAGCATCATGTCACCATTCATGATCTTGACGCTCACATGTTGCACTCATGGGAGCCTCCCCTCAGGCCGAGTTCCCACTGTGCTCAGAGTGTTATAAATCATCTCAAAAGGCCTCTCTGGATCCAGGGAAGTGGTCCCAATACTTTCATATACCAAACACCTGCTACCAGAACCCAAATATACATGAAAGGAAAAGAAAAGTTCTAGAAAGTGAAATTACCGCAATTCCACCAATCAGTGTTGCAGAAATCTGGATAGCTGGGTCTGTTGGGAATATCAGAAAGAGGTGCTTATCTAACCACCCAAAAGTCCAAAAACACTCTCCATTTTCCAGCCAGGAAAGAATCTTTTTTGTAGACCTAGCAGAAAAGGTAGCTTTGAAGCTAAATGTCACTGGTTCCTGGGTTTGTGGAGTGAACAATGAGTCATGAATTACTCATGAGTGAACAATGGTCATGAAAAGGGACCAGTTTATTTATTTATTTATTTTTTTTTCATTTTTCTTTTATTATTCATATGTGCATACAAGGCTTGGTTTATTTCTCCCCCCTGCCCCCACCCCCTCCCTTACCACCCACTCCACCCCCTCCCGCTCCCCCCCTCAATACCCAGCAGAAACTATTTTGCCCTTATTTCTAATTTTGTTGTAGAGAGAGTATAAGCAATAATAGGAAGGAACAAGGGTTTTTGCTGGTTGAGATAAGGATAGCTATACAGGGCATTGACTCACATTGATTTCCTGTGCATGGGTGTTACCTTCTAGGTTAATTCTTTTTATCTAACCTTTTCTCTAGTTCCTGGTCCCCTTTTCCTATTGGCCTCAGTTGCTTTTAGGTATCTGCTTTAGTTTCTCTGCATTAAGGGCAACAAATGCTAGCTAGTTTTTTAGGTGTCTTACCTATCCTCACCCCTCCTTGTGTGCTCTCGCTTTTATCATGTGCTCATAGTCCAATCCCTTGTTGTGTTTGCCCTTGATCTAATGTCCACATATGAGGGAGAACATACGATTTTTGGTCTTTTGAGCCAGGCTAACCTCACTCAGAATGATGTTCTCCAATTCCATCCATTTACCAGCGAATGATAACATTTCGTTCTTCTTCATGGCTGCATAAAATTCCATTGTGTATAGATACCACATTTTCTTAATCCATTTGTCAGTGCTGGGGCATCTTGGCTGTTTCCATAACTTGGCTATTGTGAATAGTGCCGCAATAAACATGGATGTGCAGGTGCCTCTGGAGTAACAGTCTTTTGGGTATATCCCAAGAGTGGTATTGCTGGATCAAATGGTAGATCGATGTCCAGCTTTTTAAGTAGCCTCCAAATTTTTTTCCAGAGTGGTTGTACTAGTCTACATTCCCACCAACAGTGTAAGAGGGTTCCTTTTTCCCCGCATCCTCGCCAACACCTGTTGTTGGTGGTGTTGCTGATGATGGCTATTCTAACAGGGGTGAGGTGGAATCTTAGTGTGGTTTTAATTTGCATTTAAAGGGACCAGTTTAAATGCTAGGGAACTTCTAATAATATGGAATCAAATAAAAAACCAGACTAAAACCAAACAAAAGAAAATGAACCAGTAATTGGAGAAAAATTATTGAGACTTATAGTCCAGCCACCTGGGCACAGGATGGTAGCTGGGGATATAAAACCCCTATCTATATGCTAAATAGAGTTATCAGACTGCAAGCAGTAGTAGAGGTTATAACCAATGAAACTGCCAAAGCATTAGAGCTTCTAGCCAGGCAACAAACCTAAATGCGTGCTGCAATATATCAAAATCACTTAGCATTAGACTACTTATTAGCAGGGGAGGATCTAATTAGTCAGACTGCTGCCTCCAGTTAGATGATAATGGGCAAGCCATGATGGACATTGCCACCAATATCAGGAAAGTAGCCCTGTCCCAGTACAGACCTAGAAGGGATGGAATCCAAACGACCTCTTTGGTGGACGGTTTTCATCTCTGGGTGTCACAGTCCCTTTGTTCCCACTACATTTCGGCTCAAGTGGTAGATTGTCTGCTTTGCGAGTGCAATGCCTTGAGTTCATACCCCAGTTCCACCTCCCCCACCAACAAAGGCAAGGACATTTAGGCAGAAGTTGAATTTGAACATGAATGCATGACTGAATTCTTTCTGTGGGGCCACAAGCCTCTTTTGATTGAGCCTCCAACGAACAGAGATTATTTGCATATCTACAGAGTAGGTTTTGCATTGCTATCAGTCATCTAATTTACAGAGATGTCAGGTGGCTCAGCCGCAAGGAAGGGAGTGAAGCCCCCTTAGAATTCTGCAGCCTGGAAGTGCGTGCCCTAAATAAGGCAGTATTTCACTAAACCACATATTTCTCTATAAGTATTTATAGTTAGTTTTCATTATTCATGGATGTCATATTTGCAGATTTTCATTTTATTTTGTTTGGTGGGACTGGGGTTTTAACTCAGGCTTTGAGCTTGTGAATAAACAAGCACTTTACCATTTGAGCCACACTTCCAGTCCTTAATTTTGTTTTTTGAGAGAAGGTCTTGCAGTGTAGCCTAGGCTGTCCTCAGAGTCCTGCTGCTCCTGCCTTAGCCTCCAGTGCTGGGATTAAAGGAACTCTCACTACTCCTGCCCCCTTTTTTTGCACCCCTGTGTATTGAATCCTCAGGCCTTGCATATTCTTGTACTGACTAAAATTTATTTACATTCTCCAAATCAATACTCTGGCACTTTCAAGGTCATTCAGGGACATGAGGTCAGTGTCCACATGCCTGTTCCCAGTTTGATGTTGAACAGTTCTCATACTGTAAAAGTGCCTGTTCACCACCTAGAGCCACTGTTTTACAATGAATGTGCTTTTTCTGGGGATTTGGCTGTGTAAAATGACCCTGAAGTGCTGGCTAATGATCTGACCAGGAGAAACTGCGATGGGCCTTAGGAGAAAATATGTTTGTCAAGCTCCATTCAGGCCTGAGATACAGTGCTGTT